TGTTGGCTTTAGACCTGTTTGCCAGACTTAGATGTGGCAGGTATCACCCCTAGGGGCTATTGCTCACTTCCAGGTTTTCCTGTACCACTTTCTGGGGGCAGGAAACAGGCTAAGTTGTACATTTCCTTCCAGCTGGAGGTCCCCTTGACGTGTCCATGTCGTTTTCTCCTAAATTGTTTGGAGTTGGCAAAACAAATACCGTCTCTTTTTCGCTTGTAACTATCACAGGAGAATTCTGGTCTCTGATTCTGTTTTTAATGTAGGCATAATGGATCTTGAAGCGTTTCTAGGAAATACAGTTCTTTCTGGGGACTCCCTTCCAGCTGTAACATACTTATAATTAGCTCTTAAAAACCTGCCACAAGATGTGAACTTTTTCTAGTGTCCTACTGCAAAGACTTTAAGGACATGGACCATAAATTTCCTTCTTAAGTGTACCCGGCATAAGATAGGCAATCACTGGAGCACCTCATTGCCTCAGTCAGTAGAGCATGCAACTCTTGACCTTGGGATTGTAATTTCGAGCTCGGTGTTTGTTGTAGAGATTACTTAAATATAAAGTCTTTAAAAAGAAAAAAAGATAAGTACTCAACGAATGGTTGTAAAGCCACTTGTAGTGATTCCTTTCTAGGCTGAAATAGGCTTACTGATTAACCTTGTGCTTCTGAAACTGTTATGCCCAGATCGCGATCTCCCCAAAATCCCAAGACCACCAAGGAGTCCGAGTCACGTATGCAAAGGCAAAGGGCTTTGTTACGGGCTTAAGCTCGGGCTCCCAGACCTCACCAACGCAATGAATCCATGCTGAGAGCCCCGAACAAAGGAGGAGTAGGGTTTTTATTAACTCTAGGGCAGGAAAGGGGTGATGGACAGGGACTACAACGTGATAGGACAAGGTGACAGCAGAGGTGGTTATGGCGCAGAGGGACTGGTGAGTTTAGAGCAAGGCGGGCCAGAATAGTGGCCAGAACGTCCGATACCTCCCAACCTCCAGTGATTGGTTCGGACACAGGGAAGGGCGGTGGCTCAAGCCTGCTGAGTCAGGCCTCAGAGACTTGGGTCTTCTAATTTCTGGGGCCTTCTGAATGAAGCCTGTCATGGCGCTGGTTTGGTTCTTCAAAACATTACCAACCACTTGAGATCTTGCTCAAATGCAAGTTCTGATTCCAAGACCCTGGGGTGGAGCCTTAACATCTACATTCCCAACAAGCTCTGAGGTGATGCACATACTGCTTGTCTGTAGACTGCACTTGAGTAAAAAGGTACTAACATAAGTAAGTATCTGCATTTGGCTTTTAGAAGTATTGCTAAAAACAGATTAGGATTTCTTATGGGTTTGGGATAAAGTCTTGGATTTATGATCTTTTTTTCCTATTATGTTACTCTATTTTTAACAATTCTCTGTTTTTTTTGTTTGTTTTTTTTTTAATTTTTTTTTTAATGTTTTATTTATTTCTAGGAGAGAGAGAGACAGCGTGAGCAGGGGAGGGTCAGAGAGAGAGGGAGTCACAGACTGAAACAGGCTCCAGGCTCTGAGCTGGCAGTCAGCACAGAGCCCGATGCGGGGCCCGAACCCACGAACCGCGAGATCATGACCTAAGCGAAAGTCGGACGCTTAACCGACTAAGCCACCCAGGCGCCCCAACAATTCTCTGTTTTAATTTTCAATTTTAATTTATTTGAGGAGAGAGAGTGAGAGGACGCATGCAAGTTGGGGAAAGAAGCAGAGGGAGAGAAAGAATCTTAATCAGGCTCCATGCTCAGTGTGGAGCCCGATGCGGGGCTCCATCTCACAACTATGAAATCATGACCTGAGCCAAAATCAAGAGTTGGAGGATGCTAAACCAACTGAGCCACCCAGGCACCCCTGTTTTTAACAGTTGTTGTATTTTATTCCAAAAAATGATTTGAGAAATCATTCCAGGCTACTTTCAGTATAACAGGATTTTTCAATAAAAGTAATTGAGACAGGTTGAAAGAAAAGTAAGGAAGTCAAGGGTGGGAACAGTACAAAAGGTGAGTGCCTTTCTGTCCTAAGCTTTTTGCTTGAGGGGGCTTTCAGATTTGGCCCTGAGCTTCCTAGTAGTCAGTGCAAAGAGGAAAATTTTATCAGTTTTGCCAATACCTATAAAGTGAAAACAAACTAGCTGTTTAGTGAAACAGTATTTTTTGTTACTGAGACCAGAGAATTCTCCAATGGATTCTCCAAAAGAGGATCCTTTGCTACAGTGAGTGACATTCTCATCAGTAAGATTCTTATCAGTCTTCATACTTGTGACCTGACCCCCTCACAGAAAATGCCCAGGACAGTAAAAGCTGTGGACTATGGATCCACAACCCTTTATCCCAGGGCCAGCTTCCTTAGACAGCAGGAGAGATTTTTGTTACAGGAAAGCTGTTTCTCTGCCTGCTCTGTGCTGGGAACAAAGGGTAAGGTTATTAACAAGTTGAGTCCTCCGCATCCTTGTAGTTTGAGTTTTGTTGGAGGGGATAATTTGTGGAGGAGGCCAGGGAGCGTGCAGTCAAGTGGACAGGAGGCTGGGAGCTCAGCCAAGCTCCTTGTATACGTGGTACTTGTATCTCTTATGAGGCCTTCTCAAGACCTGCTTGGTGAGTTAAAAGACTGGCCTTGCTGCAAGGCTGTCTGGCAGTCCCGGTTGGTCACCAGCCTGTGAGTGAGCCAGTGAGGAAGCGAGGGGAGCAGCCTGGCCACAGCCCTCCCACCATACTGAGTTAGAGGGAGCCGGTGGTGCCTTCTCGGCTCTGAGGACTCCCTGTAACTCAGCAGAACATAGGGAGACAGCCCTAGGAGGAAAAGGAAAGGGGCTGCCGGTGCCCGAGCATCCTGGGGATGGTAGTGGCCCATTACCAAGCCACGGGAAGCGCGTCTACCACCCATAGCTTTGAACTTTTTCCTCCCTTTCACTTGGCTTGAACCTTCAAAGGAGGTGGACACAGCGCTCAGGGTGACCTGCCCCACAGGCAAAGGCAGGGTCGGTGTGGAGGACTAAGGGCCTTGGGGTGTTCCACTGCTGGGGAAGGAGTAGGTAGAATGGCGGTTGCTCTTGGCTGTTGACCTCCAGTCTCAAACCTCCAACCACAGCATTCCTGGCACCCACCCCGCTCTGAGGCAGGCCCTGGCCTCTTGTGACTGCCCCTTTCATTGGCCTCCCCCACATATGTATTTAGCCCCAACGTGCTGCTTCCCCCGCCTGGATTGGCTTCTGCCTTAAAGCTTCTTTCTCCCATAAATCTACTTCCCCCAGAAGCTTTCCAGAAACCTGACAGTGTTGGGTCCTACCCTGCCCCCTCCACTGTTCGTTGTGGTCAGTTTTTATGTTTTTAGAGAAAGAGCAGTAGCACCAAGAGCCTCTTTGTCTGGTTCTCTGGCCAGATTCTGCCACAATGTGTGCATGGCGTTTACCACATAAACCTGTGGCCTCCCGTGAAAACACAAGGACTTTGAAGCCTTTGGCCCCTGAGCTGGTAGGGCTTGCTCTGTCAAGTGATGCCTGGCCTGTGTGGCTGGTACAGGTGGCTGGCCGTGTGCTCGGGTACAGGGATGGGTCTTGCCCTTTCACGGCCTTCCTGGCAAAGTTGGGATGAATCAGATTATCTCAGAGGGAGATTGTGATTTAATGAGTCCTGGAGATAGTCCTTTTTTTTGGCAGGGGGAGATAGAGGAGTCCTATTTTAAATGTTTGTGTTTTATTTATTTTTGAGAGCCAGAGAGAAACAGCGTGAGCAGGGGAGGGTCAGAGAGAGGGAGACATAGAATCCAAAGACAGGCTCCAGGCTCTGAGCTAGCTGTCAGCACAGAGCCCGATGCGGGGCTCGAACCCACGAACTATGAGATCATGACCTGAGCCAAAGTCGGACGCTTAACCAACTGAGCCACCCAGGCGCCCCCAGAGGAGTCCTTTTTTGATCAGAGGAGGCTTGGTCCCTGGTTGATCATTCCTCTGTCAGAATGGTTTAGTTAAGAAAGGAGCATCATCCCTCCCCCCTAATTCCCCCCTAATTCCCAGCCCTCCTTTCTCCATCCTGGATGGGAGCGAGTGGGAGGAAGGCCTGGCAGCTGTGACAGGGCTGCATGAGAAGGGTCAGATGTCCAGGCTTACAGAGTTAGCGTGGCCACATACGTGACGTGTGAGCATATTTTTACTGTAGGGCAAGCGGATGCCAAGCCTACATCGCTCCTAATTATACACATCTGGTAGGTCATATGGCCTCTGTCGGAGACTAATGACGAATTTTAATACCAGAGTCCAGGTGGTTGCTGCCATATCCTGAAGCTTATGTGGTTTGTCTCTTGGTTCGGCCAAGGACAGGGCAGTTGTGGGGCGTACAGATTTTTCAGATAGAGTGTTGAATTCATTGCTCGTTGTCTATGCTCCGAGAGGTCTGGGCCCCCGTTTCGATCTTGTGGTTTTCCCTGGTAGAGAGGAGGCCGGCGGAGGCCTCTGTCTAGCGCAGAGCTGCTGGCTAGCAGGAGCTCTGTAAGGCACCTGGTCTCAGAGCAAGGAGGCCCCCCACAGAGTTAGTCGTAGGTTGTGTAAAGCTGTCGACCTGGGAGACAGTGTTGGTCCAACACCACAGGTCATTTTCATCGTCCGGAGCGCACCATTGGGTGCTTTGAAAAGTAGCTAAGCTTCTTCTCATTAGAAGTGTCTGAGTGGAACCTCTACCTCGCCCTCCCCCCAGAAAGGTAGAAGGAATGATGTGTCATGAAGCTGTAGAAACGAGGGCTGGACCTTCATGCAGTATTAGAGATGTCCACCTGGCAAGCGCAGATGGAGTCGAGGCTCAGAAATCTAAACCCTGCGCACTTGCTAGGCCACTTCATCACATTTGATAGTCAGTTTTCCCTTATTATTTCTACCCCCATTGATATCTGCCCTTGTGTCCTGTAGCATCTTACATACAACTTGAAATGCACTCTCATGGACATTTTAAATCTTTTCTTCTCACAACTTGTGGAGCTGAGGGGAGAGCATGACTTGTCAGGCAGATTCATAAGTAAGATTATGAAAGGACTGTTTATCCAGACTGAGGAAATAACCTGCCTTTTCTGAGGTACTTTTTCCATGGGAATCATTCCATTTCAGACCATCTGACCTGGTTGCTGAAGGGCCTCTGGCGACGACGTTAACCTAGTTCAGGTTTGTGTGTACACTTGAAGGTTACCTAGGGTGGCTCCCTCAGTACGTTGTAATTCTAGCTCACCCGCCCAACCCCCAGGATAAATGGATAGCTGCTTTTTTGAATAATGAGATCCAGACAAGACATATCATCAAAACAAAGATCATTTGTTTGCACCCTTTTCCTGCCCCAGCAGCATCTTATTCCAGCCCTTGTCGCCAGACCACACCCTTTAATGGAGGGAGCATTAGCCACCCATCGAGGCCTGACTCTGGCCACTGAGAGTTTCTAGGAATGGAGCAAGGAGGAGAAATTCGGGGTGCCAGGTTAGATTTTTTCCAGCTCGTGGGTTCAACTTATTCCTGTAGTGAACAGAATTTGCCTGGAAACAACTTCACATGCAGTTTTGTAAATAGCCACAAGGTGAGGATGTGGCTCCATGAACATGTCGCAGCAGGACTTGGTCACTCAGCTCTGTGTCCTGTCATTCTCTTCCCTCTTCTTCATGTGCTTCTCTGCCTTCTGACTTGTTGCCTTGATGGTTGATACAGAGCTTGGATTCTGGAGTGACGCAGTCCTGTGTTTAAATCTCTCTGAGCCTTGGTTTCCCCCTCCGTGAGCGAAGAGAAGAGGACTTGCCTCCCATGGGAAACTCCCTCTGGCCTGCTGCTAGCAGTTGTGTAAATTGATGCCACCCCTTTAGAGGGCCACTTGGCAACGTAGGCTCAAGTATGTGCAGGTACCCTTCACCTCAGCACCTCTTCTGCTGGATGTTTCTGCTATGCACATGCTAGTGTGCATGCAAGGGATGTGTGCCGTTGGTGGTTTTGTTTGGTCAGTTGTGCTTTGTTGCAGCATTGGTCGTAGTAAGGAAAGACTGGAAATGACCCCAGTATTCGCAAATAGAGAGACAGTGACATAAACTGGGGGACACTTTTACGGTGGAATACGGTACTGGGCAGTGATGTCAAAGAAAGAGGAAGCTCTCTGGGTATTGCTGAGAAAAGATGTCCAAGATACTTTGTTGTGTGTGTGTGTGTCTGTGTGTGTGTGTATGTGTGTGTGTTTTAGAGAAAAAAGAGGAAAGAAAGCATTACTGAACGGGTGTCCTGTACAGTGTGCTACTTTTATGTAAAGAGGGAAAAGGTTGAAATAGATTGTTGTTTGCATGTACTTCAAGAGCTGAGGGAGAGCCCTATGCACAGAATTAATGAGACTATTTACCTGTTTTTATGGGAGTAGCTAGTAGTAAATATTTTGCTTCAGTTATATGAGAAATTGGCTGCTTTTTTCTCCCTCTGTTGGACTCCTTTGTTGCCTGCAAGGTGACTTTCTACACTGATTCTGTGCCCTACACTCCCCCCATGACACTGTTGGCACCAGCTGATCCACAGCACGCGCTGTGCGCCAGGCACTGTCTTAATGCCCTGCATCATGCAGGAGCCTGTTACAGTGACGAATGGGGACAAGGACAGAGGGAGACTTCCATCTGCAGTGCATTTTGTATTTCATCCACATATTACCTGTCAAAAAAATTGTTCTGCCCCATGCAGCAGTTGTGAGAAGTAAGAGAGTCGGTGTGAATCGTGTGCCCTTTAGGGGCACCTCCGAATGGGTCTGGAGCCTCGGGTGCCCCGGCAAGCAGAGGAGGACCCTTTTGCAGTACAGGGCGGGTGTTTACAAGACCTAGCTGTGCCGCACCCAGCTTCCCAGTGAGCACGTGAGCAGGAGGAGCCCAGTCTAGGGCCTCCCCCCTCCCCACCGCTCCCTCCCGCACCTCCTCTTGCTGTCACTGCTTCTCCTGGTCTCTGAGGAAACGAGGCTATTTTTGTCTAGCTTCTAGCTTTGAGGTTGGCCCAGTGCATTCCAGGTGGCCGCCAAAGTCCTGGGCACTTGCTTCCCTCGTTCCCCTTCCAGATCTTCCGGGAGTTGTTCCCCTCCTTCAGCTTGTCAGCCCCAGCCCCGTCCACCGGTGTCCCCGGTGGCAGTGGGGCCTGAACTGTTAGGCTGAGGGGTGGGAGTCTCTCTGTAATCCCTGACGCTCTTACTGGAACAGTCCTATTTTCAGATTCAGCTCCCAGATTGTTCCGTCTTCCTTCCCTGAGTGCTCGCCCTGGTTCTCCCTCACCTGCCCACCCACCAGCCGGCCCAGGGCTCTCGCTTTCACTGTCCAACGCACGCGTGCTCTGGGGCCGTTACCACCTGGATTTCCCTGGGTGCAAGTTCATCATAACCCAAGCTAGTGGGAGAAGAGTGCTGCTCGCTCGCTCTCTGGCGGGAGTAAGTCGCCACCTGCCCTGCCGCCTGGGCTGCGGTTTCTGAGGGAGGGTCCCGCCTCCTCCGCCAGGCCCGGGCAGGCACTGTGGGAAGCCGCCGGGCACGGCCAGGGCCTGAGCTCGCCCGGGCACAAGCCCGGGGCAGAGCGGTCGGAGCCAGGCCGCGGCTGCCTGCCGGTGGGAGTGTTGCGGCGACAGCACTGCTGTGGCCTGGCCCCGGGAGGGCGCAGCCCCGGCCCCTGACCCTGTGGCACTAGGCCGAAGGGACGGGGATGACAATGGGGCTTTGAGCCTGGTCTCTGATTTGGACTTGTATTGACCCTTCTGCTTCCCCTTTGGAAGGCCCTGGGGCCAAGGAAAGCCAGACCGGTGTTCTCTTCTGAGGAAGTCAACATTTGATCTTTCTTTTCTTTGGCGAGAAGAAAAGAAAAAAGAAAACAACAGAAAAAAGAAAAAGGCTGTCCTTAGTTTTTTTTAATGAAATATAGTTGACGTACTAGTTTTAGGTGTACAACATAATGATTCAACAATTGCATACTTTACAAAATGCTCACCATGGTAAGTGGGTAAGTATAGTCACCACACGACATTATTTCAGTATATAGATTATATTACAATATTATACACTATATTCCCCATGCTGTGCTTTTCATCCCTGTAACTGACTGACTTTATAGCCGGAAGTTTGTACTTCTTAGTCCCCTTTATCTAGTTTACCCATCTCCCCCACCCCCTTCCTCTCTGGCAACCACCAGTTCTCTATATTTATGAGTCTGTTTCTTTTTGTTGTTGTTTAGACTCTATATATAAATGAAAACATACAGTATTTGTCTTTTCTCTGTCTTATTTCACTGAGCATAATACCCTCTAGGTCCATTCGTGTTTTCACGAATGGAACGATCTCATTCTTTGTTTATGGCTGAATATTCTTAGTAATATTCCGTCGTATATATGCACCATACCTTCTCTGTCCATTCACTGTGGATGGACACTTAACGTTGTTTCCATGTCTTGGTTATTGTAAGTAATGCTGCAGTAAACATGGGGGTGCGTGTATCTTTTCAAATTAATGTTTTCAGTTCTCCTTGGTAAACATCCAGAAATGGAATAACTGGATCATACAGTACTTCTATTTTTAGTTTTTTGAGGAGCCTCCGTACGATTTTCCCAGGAGCTACCTCACTTTCAGTAATTTACACACACTGCACAGGGTTCCCTTTTCTTCACCTTGTCGCCGACACTTGTTATTTCTTGTCCTTCTTATTCTATTCTAGCCGTTCTGACTGGTGTGAGGTGATGTGTCATGGTGGGGATTTTTTTTTAATGTTTTATTTATTTATTTTGAGAGAGAGAGAGAGAGAGAGGATCCCTCGCAGGCTCCTTGGTGTCAGTGCAGAGCCCAACATAAGGCTCGATCTCAGGAACCGTGAGATGATGGTCTGAGCTGAAATCAAGATTCAGACGCTTAACTGACTGAGCCACCCAGGCGGCCCTGTCATGGAGCTTTGATGTGCATTTCTCTGATTAGTGATGTTGAGCATCTTTTTATGTGTCCATTGACTGTCTTTTTTGGAAAAATGTCTCTTCAGGTCCTCTACCCATTTTTTAAACCCGATTATTTGATTTTTTGGTGTTGTATGAGTTCTTTATATATTTGGCTATTGAACCCTTATCAGATACATAATTTACAAATATCTTCTCCCATTCAGTAGTTTACCTTTTCTTTTGTTGGTGGTTTCCTTCGCTATGCAAATGTCTGTCTTGGTCATTAAAAAGCAAGGTTTCTGGGACACAGATGCAGTAAATATATCTTTTTTTTTCCTTTTGCCATCTTGTAGAAGGCCGACGGCTTCGGGGGAACACTGACCTAGTGACATCTCAATGGCCTTGGGAGAAGAAAAGGCAGAGGTGGAGGCATCCGCAGCCGCAAAGGCCCTGTCCTATGGGCAGTGGAGCTGCAGGGAGCAGGAAGCGGACACCCCAGGCCTCACGAGTGGGGAGCAGGAGCAGCCAGCACTCCCGGAACCTGAGGGAGGGTTCGCATCCCCGGGGTGGGGAACAGAGGGGCCCCCTGCCCCAGCCTGCTGTGATGGGGCTGGCCCCAGCCCCTCTGGAGCCTACCAGCCGCAGGCTAACAGCACCAGGAGGGAGTCGGTAGCTGGTAGATCTAAGCCCGCTCTTGGCTGCCTGCCTCCTCCTCCTGCAGCGACTGGACACCGTTTGCACTCTGTGGAAAGCCAGGTAGGTAATAAGGCAAATGGGACTGTAGATTTAACTAATGTGGTATTTTGGCGGTATGTTCTAGCATTTTCTCACCATCTTACCTGGTTTCCCAGCGTCTGTACAAGGGGAGGAGTTAAGGGAATGTGGGCGTGATGGCTTCTGAGTTACAGGCTCACCTGGAGAGTTGGGCCCTGGGGACTCTGTCCACAGCATCTCCTGTTCCTCAAGAGTGTGACTGGTGATCTTGTAGAGACTGAGGATGCTGTCGTCAAGACATTGTTTGTTGCCCGGTGGGCTAGCCCAGGGGGCTGCGTCCTGTTTCTGACTTGGTGATCTGAAGTCTTTAGGGGGAGTCCTTAGGAGACTTGGGTCCAGGGCTGTGGGCTCCTGAAGGCTCTGAGACTGCATCCCCTTGGGACCCAAGGAACCTGGCAGAGGCTTGGAGGCCCCGTAGTAGGCGGCACGGTCCTCGGGGAAGAAGAATTTCTTGGGCCTCCCTGACTGCAGGGAAGCCTTACCTAGTGTGAGTCACGTGGAGCAAGGCGTCCTGCTTGGCTCTGTGACCTCAGGAATGTCACCGAGTCTTTCAGGCCCTCGGTACAGTTGGGAAGGTGACCGGAATGCGCTGTCCTTCCCAGCTCTGGCATCCTATTATGTTCTGCTTGCCAAGGCCTTCCATGGAATGGCTTTGATGTCTTCAGTGTCCTTGTGGCCTTGGCTGCTGAAAACTGCCCCCATGTGGTTCTGTCCTGGGAGGGTGCTGCATAGGCCTGTCTGGGAGAAAACTGAAGCTGTACCCATCTGCCTGGGAGCCAGGGGTGGCGGAAGGTTCAGGGCACCTGTGAGAGATTTAGTGAGGCAGGGAGCTCATGAGCAAACATAGAAATAGGCTGTTTTAGGAGCTTACTAAAAATGGGCTGCTTATTGTAGTACCTGTTGTTTTTTGAGCTCTTACCTGTGCTTTTCACGTGTGAGCTCCTTTAATCCTCATGTCCTAAGTAAGTGGTACTGTTACCATCCCTGTTTCACAGACGAGGGAACTGAGGCCCAATGTCCTACATCTGGAAGGTGGCAGTTAGGGGCATTGAGTCTGTCCGGTTCCGAGCCCACGCCTTTAACCAGTGTGCTGTCCCACCTCCCTCGGGGCGCAGGTTCTTCCCTGAGCAGATTAAAAACTCAGAGGGAAGAGGCTAAAATGAGTGACTTGCTTTGCCAGCGTTCAGTTCCTACCGAGGTGAGCCGAGCAGGATGTGGCTTCGTGGATCAGCTGCCTGCTGGTTTCGATGTGTTTCCAGTCGGAGGTTTCTTCCACCCAGGACGTGCGTCTCAGAAGTTAGTGGGGCGCTCCAGCCTTGCACGACAGAGCTGTCGGATTGCATGCGCGCTCTGCCTGCACGAAGACCTGAGGGTGTGATCAGTTTAGGGAAGGCCGTCGGCTTCCCGGAGCATGCTGGGTGTCGGTGCTGGAAACTAGCCGCACACTGTCTGGTTCTCGCATCAGATAGCAGACTCTTATTTCAAGACCTTTCCTGAATATCATCTAGGCCCCCAAGGAAATTCCAAAGTTGTCCTCTAAGAACGAAATTTGGTTTGCTTGTTTTTACTTGAGTGGGTTTTCTTCCCTCTCATAACAGATGGAGGAGACCAGGCTTTCTGCCTCAGAGGAGCTACCTCAGACCCTCACGGATCCCAGAGCCACAGATCTCTGCTCAGGACATGAGGCCGATACCGAAGATGACCCATCCCCAGTTGAGTCACCACGGGTGCTGGACCTCAGCCAGCAGCCTCAGCGCTCAGGTTTCCCTTTCCCAACAAGATGGAGGTCTGTAGTGAGCCAAGGCGCTGCTGCTCCTCCGTTCTCCAGCTGCAGCGTCTCTGCCTCCTCCCCGGGCAGCAGTCTCCAGGGTCACCAGGATGAGGCAGAAGCTCAGAGTTGCTCCATTGCCAAGGTCTCATCCTCCCTGGAGCTGGTCGTGCCCCAGTCGGCCCCCTCCGTGGTGGGGCCAGGGCCACGGCTCCAGTGGCCACCACAGCCTGCGTCCTCCGGGGTTGATGCTCCTGGGCTGGGCAGGAGGCACCTCTCCTTCCAGGCCGAGTACTGGGCCTGTGTGCTGCCGGACTCCTTGCCTCCTTCCCCCGACCGCCACTCCCCACTCTGGAATCCGAATAAGGAGTATGAAGACCTGCTGGACTATACTTACCCGCTCAGGCCCAAGCCTCACCTCCCAAAGCACCTTGACAGCCACAAGCTGGCTGATCCTATCTTGCAGGACTCGGGTGTAGACCTGGATAGCTTTTCTGTTTCCCCCGCAAGTACCCTGAAGTTCCCTACTAATGGCTCCCAGAATTGCCCATCAGCAGAGGCCTCTGCCCTGCCATTCTCTAGGCCCAGAGAGCCGAGCCTTATGCGGTGGCCCTCTGGAGCACCCCAGAAGCAGTGCAGTGTGGGGTTGGCATCTTGTAACCAGCTCACTTCTACCCCCAGAGCCTCGGGCGGCAGAGACGCTCCTTGGGAGAGCAGAGAGCCAGCCCAGAGGTATGTGAAGGACTGGCTGCCGATGGACAAGCGCCCTGAGGAGGGCTCTCCCCAGCTGAGGACATGCGACAGAGGCTGGCCCTTGCCCAGGACAGAGAGAGAGAAGGGGGCCAGCCAGGGTGGCGGGCACCCGGCCTGCACAGAGTCTAGATGGAAACCAGAAGAGGAGGTGGAAAGTGATGACGAGTATCTCGCCCTGCCCGCTCGGCTGACACAGGTTTCTAGTTTGGTTTCATGTCTAGGTTCTAGTCCTACCTTGGTGACCCTGCCCACTGGGTCTGCTGAAGGGCAGACCTCCCTCAACGTGTCAGACAGCGATGGGCCTGCCTCCCTCCCGTCGGACTCCAGCCAGAGCCATCTTCCTTCTGGGGCCGCCCTCAGGGGGTCCAGGGGCCCTGAGGGCCAGAACCACCGTTTGCTCTGCTCCTTCGTCCGTGCAAGGGGCTCTGCGGGGGAAGGCGGTCTGGGGAGCAGCCAGGCCCTGGGAGTCTCCTCTGGACCCCTGACAGCACACTCTTCTTTGCCAGCTGTGTGGGATCAGCGTGCATTCTTAGCCCCAGATGGTGATGGGCAGCCTCCTGGGAAAGGAGAGCCCGGAAAAGAATCACTCGTGCAGTGTGTGGAGGTAAACTCCCCGTTCAGGAGGCTTTGCCTAGAGGGATCTCTTCTCCCAGCGCATGGAATCAAATGTAGTAACCTTGAGCACTTTACATGTGCCAGGCGCTGTGCTGTGCTTTAGCTTACTTGATTCTCACACCTGTCTGATAAGGACGACTGTTCTTTCACAGTTGGGAGAAAAGGCCTTCAAGGATTAGGTAACTTGCCCACCCAAGGCAAGAGCCTAAGCTTAACCATTACTCCTGGCTGCTTCCTAGAGTTCTTAACCTTGAGGATTAAGATGATTCTGCCGAGAAAGATCTGTGCTCGCATGCCTTTAGGAAATACTAAACTAAACAATGGTAAATGGTTTCTTGACTGCGGGACTTCTCAGAGCTTCAGTTTGATAAAGTGGTGGCGCTTCACAGTTAAGTCATTTCATGTACCGTGTCCTAAGACATTTTGGTCACCAAACATCTTGTGGACTCGTGACTCTCTGGAGATAGGATTAATACTCTGTGGAATGGGGTCATTAGCATCAGGCAGATCTGAATTTCAATCATGGCACTGCCATATTTAGAATTTCAGCTTAGTCTTTTGAGTTTGCTCATTTATAAAATGCAGAGCCTTTCCTCTTGGAGATGTAGTATGGATTACATGAAATTTTTTTTTTTTTTTAATGTTTTTAAAAAAAATTTTTATAGTTTATTTTTGAGACAGAGAGAGCATGAGTGGGGGAGGGTCAGAGAGAGAGAGGGAGACACAGGATCCGAAACAGGCTCCAGGCTCTGAACTGTCAGCACAGAGCCTGATGCAGGGCTTGAACCCACGAACCATGAGATCTGACCTGAGCCGAAGTTGGGCGCTTAACCGACTGAGCCACCCAGGCACCCCATTTAATGTTTATTTTTGAGAGAGAGAGAGAGAGAGACAGTACAAGTGTGGAAGGGGCAGAGAGACACACACACACATAGAATCTGAAGCTGGCTCCAGGCTCTGAGCTGTCAGCACAGACCCTGACACAGGGCTTGAACTCAAAAACAGCTAGATCATGACCTGAGCCATAGTCAGATGCTTAACCGATTGAGCCACCCAGGCGCCTCTACATGAAATCATTCTTGTTGAAGGCTTTGCATAGTCCCTGACACAAGGATTTTCAGGTATGTGGCTCTCTGCATGTGGAGAGTCCCACATAAGGCCTCGTGTCCTGGGTGAGTGCACGGACACTGCACACACATAGCAGCGCAGGTGGCTGGAGAACCTGGAACCCATGAGCCGGCGCAGCAGATGTTTTCTAGCACTGATGCCTTTGGTCTGCCTCGTGATGGCCTGTGGATGACTTTATTTTGTCCCATGAAGCAGGTAGGACAGATATTAGCAGGTACCTCTTTTGTGATAAAAGACTGAAATACTGCGAGGCAAAGTGCTTGGGTCAGAGCCTCCCCAGGGTGAGTGGCCAGTGGGAGTCTAGGGGCCCGGTGCCCTGGGCAGTGCAGGAACAGAACAGGGACAAGCAGTTGTAATTCACTTGTTTCCTGCCATACGTTCAAGTTAGTCACAATCATAGCCATTTATCTCCTGTTTTCCTCAGGGACAGTTCCCAAAGCTCGCACTGGTGTCACCCAACAGTTGGTTTCCACGGTTGGCATGCTTTTGGGCTGTTCCCTGCCCGTGGCCCCTCCCCCTAGCTGCTCTCTTCCTACGTGCAGGGCAGGCTTTTTTCAGCCTGTCATTTTTGCTGTCACAAAGGCTGAGGGGAGACCGCCAAGGTGGGGCTCGTCATATTGCCCCGGTGGAGGTCTGGAGTCAGGGTGGGAACAGGCAGGGGAGGAGCGTGGAAACTGACCCCTCAAGTGAGGGAACACTCCAGAAAAGCGCAGTCTCTCTCCTAGAATCCCCTGGATTGAAAGTGCAGACAGCAGTTTGGTCTGTAACACCATGTGTCCTCTATTTGTCTCCACAGACGTTCTGCTGTCAGCTGGAAGAGCTGATCGGCTGGCTGTATAACATAGCCGACGTTACCGACCACTTGATTCCATCCAAGTCCAATCTTACAGGTCTCAAGTCTTCTCTGCAGCTTTACCGGGTAATATGTGATCCTGGCTTCTGGCTGCTCACTCACCAGAGTGGTGGCTAAGTACTTGATTACAAGTAAAAGCTCAAATACCCGATACTCAGTATGTTAGGGCACAGTGGACCGTTGTATCTGAAATCTAATCAGTGGTCCTTTCCAGATTCTTACTGTTGCAACACTGTAAAATGTAGGAGTTATGTCCCAGGCCAAGAAGAGTTTGGAGAAAATCTATTATCCTCAGTCTAATATCCTTAAGGATGATTTGCGATGTAATTTTCCAAATGTCTTGGATAAAGTAGTCACCGGGTGCCTATTCACATGTGGCTCTTCAGCTGAAGTAGAATTCAAGATTCCTATTTCTGTTAACACTAGATACAGTCCCAAATGTCAGGCATCACATTTGTCTAGTGGCAACCGTATTGAGTAGCGTAGCTAGAACACTTCCATCATCACAAAAAGTTCTTTTGGAAAGCCCTGACTGGAATTTGCTTCTGTGTTTTCTTTTGGGGGGTTTTTGCCTCTTCTTCATTAAGGTTTTGTTATTTCTAACATCTCTTTGTGTGTTCTGGTTCATTTGACTTTAGTATCTGAAGTGATAGTTTTTGCCTGTTGTTCTAGAATAACCATCAATAGGTCCCCCTTCATTCTCAGACGTGTTCTGAATCGGAGGATAAATTATACAGTTACCCTAAGCATAATATTAACCTTGACTGAACTACCCACAGGCCTGTAGCATGTCTGGTTGGCCAAGCATTTCCAACCTCTGAAGGAGCAGAGGTAGTTAGGAGTTGTGGTGTGAGCCTGATGCTAGTCTTGACAGGGTTTTCTGAGACAGTTCTTTGCATTTCTGCCACCTAATCAAGTGCCTTCAGAGGAGGTTATTGACTGTCCCTGAGCCAGAGCAGCACCCACCCAGCCCCCAGCACATCCTGGTGGGCAGGATGGAGATGGGCCTTTTGTTTTCCAGCTTGGAGCCAAGTCAGATTTAGGGAGGGGCATCACCTGGGTGGCCAGCTGTCCCACCTTAGTGGGAGTGCTACTTCCTGCTGTGTAGACAGAGGTCACCTGGAGTTCCTTGCCCAGAGTGTGCTGGAGGGAGGAGGGGAAGGCTGAGTGTGACAGCGCTCTCTGTGCGCAGCTCCTGAGTATGTGTGTGTAGCTGGGCAGGGCCCGCCCCTTGGGGGTCTAGGGGCAGTACCACTGTGGGGAGAGGAAACTGCCTGGAAGTTGCCCTCAGAATTACCTGGGTGGTCTCTCCAGAGTGCCTCGGCCCCATCCCCATCAGAGCAAGTGCCAAGTAGAACGAGTCCATTTCCTCCATTTTACCCCTCCCTGTCCTTCTCTGCCTCACCTTCCAGGCTGGCCAGAGCAGCTGTCTTGCTTTGTGGGTAGAACTGAGACCTGAGCTGGGAGTTAACCCTCACAAGTCAGTGAAGACTAGCCCTCTTGTGTCACCTATACAGCTGTATCATAAAGCGGGACCACTGTCAGCCCCTTTCCCACACATAATGGTGCATGACTTACAAATAAGTGTGAGCTACCTTGACCCCTGTGTAGATACCTAATATAAGCAGGTGTGTTTGTGTCCACGAATTGTTGACTGTGACTGTCTCATACTCTTTGTCTTAACACTGTAGCTTTATGGCAGCATATAAACTACAGAGAATACTAAAGAATAAAATAAAAAGCACAGGTATTAGGGCAGAGGAAAACTAAAGACAAGAATATAGTTAAGTCCAAGAGTAAAATTAAAACTTGAGAATGTGAACCACCAAGTTTTGTACCCTGTACTAAAAGTCATCATGGATTTGACTTGACACATCTTAGCATCTAAAGGAACATCAAAACAGTCAGCTGTAAGGCTTGGTATCCGTGAGGGGAAAACAGATCAGCTACTTGGGAGACTCAGCTTCCCCGATGCCTTCCCGAGGCCCAAGGTCTGCACAGAGCTGGACGTTCAGGGAAGAAGTGGGTCGAGGCACCTCTCATGTGGCTGTTACTTCTCGGGTCTGTCAGGATAGAAGACATTGTGTTTTGAGAATCCCATAGCCTTGTGAGTTTAAAGAAAACCCAGTGAGGTCTAAAAGAAAGAACCTGCAACCCCCAGGCTGTTCATGAACCAGGCTCTGCCAGGGAAAAGAAAACTGTTTTGTTAGACTGTAAACAACAACAACAACAAAGATTGACTCTATTTTGGGCTCAAAGGATCAAGAAGGGAAAGTTAAACTAATATACTGTTTACTGGGGGAATTCTGAAGATTGAGTGGGTTTGCTTCCAGGTTAGAGGGGAATCAAGCTACCCTGCAAGGGATCCTTTTGAGTAACTTACAGAACATTGGTAACGAAGCTTTTTTTTTTTTTTTTTTTTCTCCCATGCTTTAGCAATTTAAGAAAGATATAGATGAACACCAGTCCCTGACAGAGAGCGTCTTACAGAAAGGGGAGATTCTTCTTCAGTGCCTCTTGGACAGCACTCCAGGTGAGACGCAGCAAGTTCTGAATTGAGCCAGTGCTCCCTCCCTCTCGGCAGCAAGTCCAGGGAGCCACGCTGTCACTGGTAAAGACCCCTCCCCACTCCACCCACTGCCATAGATTGCTGTGGCTCCGGCCCTCCCACTGTCACTGCCCCCGTGGCCACACGGGGATCTGGTCACGGTCAGGAAGGTAAGCTGAGTTAGAAGGCCTGGAGCTTGCGAGAGTGACACACTTTTACCTTTTCATGGTAGTGACCTGTGCCGCGCTGCTGGTTTTAATCCAGTGGTCTTTGGTTCTCTGACAGGACGTTCGCAGTGGGAACCCCAGAGGACTCCCCTCCCCTCCTATCCCAGCACAGGCTGGGCCCCTCTCTGGTTATCTGCTTTGTGTTCTGCCTTGAAGGAGATTTGTTTCAGCACCCGAGAGCAGTCAGTCTATTCTAAGGGAGCAGGCTAAGAGAAGGAGTGAACTGATGACAGGGACAGTGGTACAACAAAATAAGCTCACGTTCATTCTGTAGGATGGGCTCCCCATTTAGGAAAACGTAAAGTCACAGATGTTAAGAGTGTGCCTAAGCCTGCAAGGTGCAAGGATTTAAGGCGGCGTTGCCCTTGCCAAGGGCAGGTGGGGTATGGAGGGTGAGGTGGGGGGAATGCTAGGTTTAGAGCGGAGAACTGGTGGATCGCCAAAGAGCCCCTCATTTCCTGGACGACTAAACAACCAAGAGCTAAAAGAGCCCATCTGTAGTATGCGTCAGTTTTGGAGTGAGGCGTGGGCTATGCTGGAAGGAAACCAGTCAAAGCTGGACAGGGCCCTCGGGCTCGAGGGCCAGTGAGGTGGCGCTGTCCTGACCAGCAGTGTGGGCGTGTGTTAGGCAGGTGGGATAGGGCAGTTTCTCAACCTGGGCGTCCTCAGCATTTTGGGCCACATGATGCTGTGTGAGGAGGGTTGTCCTATGTGTTGCAGGATGTGTGGCAACGTCAACCATCAGATACCAGTAGTGCCTCCTCTCCAATTGTGACAACCCAGAACATCTCCAGACATTGCCAAGATCCCCTGGGAAGAAAAGTGACCAGGGTTGAGAACCATGAGCAGGCAGAAGGGTTTCAGTAGGACAGGGACTTACTGAAGGAGTTTTAGCAGGGCAGGGATTATCCAGTGTGAATTTCGTGAGCCCTTTGCAGTCCCCTGCCTTCAGGAGGCCTTTGTTTTGGCTCTTGGGTTTACTGGGGCAGAAATTCAGTATGTCAGGCTCCCCTGCTGCGTGTAGTTACGTCGGCGTCATACCGAACACTGTGCCAGACGCTGTGTGCAAGTAGTTAACGTACCAGTGTTGGTTTTTTCCCATTTAATGACAGCCTCGTGAGATAGGTACTGTTGTCACTGTCCCCTCGGAGCTGTGAACTGGCCTGGGACCACACAAGGAGCGGCAGCCTGGCTCACGCCCCTTTCTGCCCACTCCCCCGCTGCTGTGTCTGGAGGGGCAGAGGCCTGAGCAGGACGGGAAAGCCCTTCATACCAGGAGACTCTTCCTGCGGGCCACATGGAACAGTGGGCCTCTTACAGGCTACCGGTTCTTTGACCTTCATTTAAAAACCAATCCAGTAATACTTGTCAGTGCTTAATCTGTAATAACTTCCCACTTGGCCCTTGTCTCAAAAGGAGTCTGAAGGTTTCACTGCCAAAGAGCCCTATCTGTGATTCTCAGATATGTATGCAGGCTCTTTGACTGACACCTGCCCCTCCTGTCCTCTGCTTGGACTCATCAGGAACTTTGGTGTTGTGTGGTCATCACAAGTTCCCCTGGCCTCCGGCTAGATGCAGGACAGCTCAGCTCCCTGCAGGGTGCACCGCCAGCCAGTCCGTAGAGCCTGAGCACTAGCACTCCCTGCCAGCTTTGCGGTCGCAAGTGCAGCTGTAGGGACAAGAACCAAACTAACTCCCCTCCCACATGTCCATCTCAGCCTCCTGCCGCGGCCTCCCCGTGGGCAGCGGGCTTCTCTGGGCACTTTGGCCCAGTGCTTCGGTGCCCGAGTCGCCAGTCCTTTCTTGACCCCACGCTCCTTACTGAACTGGTCACGTGATCCAGTTCTGTACATATGTATTCAATTAAAAGAGGAAAGTCTTACTGGGAAAGATGATTTCATTCTTACTCCCAGCTTTCCTTTTACTTGGCCCCAACCTTTCCTTTTACTTGGCCCCAACCAAGCATTCTAATATCCTAAAATAAATGTTTAGAAAAAAAAATAAAGGTTCCTGAATTCTGACAAACACAGGAGGACCGAGCAAAGGTCTGGAGGGAAAACCGCAGCCATCGTGCTCACAGACGAGCTGTGCCATGCACCTGGCCGCCCTCCTCCTCCGGGCCTCGCCAGGACGGCGCTGCCCAGATGACTCAGCATCTGTGTGCCTTCCCCAGGGACCTGATCTGGGCCCAGCGAGCCCGTGTCCCTTCTCCTGCCGCCCGTTCGTCCGTCAGCATCTTCTGCAGATACGCAGCTTCCCCTTTCCCTTCCGCTGCTGGCAGACGCTGCAGCTGTAGCAGGAAACTAGAGAGAGTGTTAACACAGCTGATAAAGGCTCAGGAAGCTAAAGCAGCCTTTTGTGTTTCACAAAGGAAGTAAGGTTTTTCAGAGAAAAACAAGCCTGCCATGTGTGATGCTCTCTGAACGTAGCCCATCCCTTCCGCAACACTCGGCCCACAGGAGGAAATCTTGGCTTTGCTAACCTCTTGTCTTAGCCTGCTTTGAGGTAATTTGGAAATCTGCTGATTTAGGGCCCACAAAAAGGGTTCACAGCATTCCCAAATCCACTCCCAGACTAGCTGTGTACATGCCAAGTAACAGTTCCCCAGCCGACAGAATCTGTTAGGAACCTGCAGTGGGGCCCAATGTCCTAATCTTGGCTTCTTGTTTCGTTTCATTTAAGCCTCCTGCCCCATACGGTCTGGGTGTGCCCTGTGTCTTAACTCTGAAAGTCACATGATGCCAGTCACCAGAGAGCCATGTTTCTGTGCCTTTTTGTGAATTAGATAAATCCAGAGTGAAGCCATCGAGATTCTTCGCTCAGCTTTAATCCTAAGTTAACACAGACCCTCCAGTGCAACAGGAGTCCCTAGACAGTCACTATTAGAGAGTGAATGTCCTGAAACTGTTGCCATTGCCATGTTCCTATTTTGTGTAAAACACTAAACCCTTCTAGGATTCTTCTGAAAATACATGTTGGATTTGTTTTTTGGCCTAAATGCTTTGAACCTTGTTTGTTAGTGTTAAAGGATGTTCTCGGGAGGATCTCGAAGCAGCCCAGCGAGCTGGAGAGCCACGCAGATCGCCTGTATGATGCCATCTTAGCTTCCCTGGACATGCTGGCTGGCTGCACCCTCATCCCTGACCACACGACGGCGGCACACGGGAGCACCGACGTGAAGGGGATTAGCCTGGTGAGTAGGCAGCCTGAGGGAAGACACCGTGTCCACTGGACCCCAGGGCCAGATGAGGGTGCAGGGCCCCTGCTCTAACAGTTGGCGAGCTCTTGGAAGCTTATTGAACCAGGAGTTCCTGAAAGCAATGAGATGCTAGGAGAAGACCCGGACATGAAAAAGGGAGATGCTGCCGTTGCCAGAAAGGAGGCTGGGGATCTCCCCGTGGCAAGCTGACTCCCCGAGCTGCTTTCCATTACTCTTTTTAGCCCTGCTGCCTGCTGAGGACTAGGGTGCCCCGTGCTCGCACTTCCGTGGCAGTGCCCTCACCTCCACCCCTCAAGACAACAGTGGCAAAATTCCTCTATACCTGCTTTTTTAGGTCTGCGTCTCCAGTAGAGGGTCATTGTCAGGCCACCTGTTCTGGAGGCTCTTCTGGCCCATCTTCACGCAGCTTATTGTTAAGTCCTCACCCCTCCCTTCCCATCAACGATCTCTGTGAGCTCCCTTCCAGAAAGGGCTAGGGGATAGGTGGGGGAACGTGCCTTGGGCGATTTAACAGTACAACTTTCTTTTCATCTTCGGGAAAGTCCAGCAGGGAATGATAGGGAAAAGGAGCTGAGAGCAGAGGGGGTTCGTGCCCAGCGTGGGGCCGCCACTGCCTAACATACTTTCCCTGAGACTTCCTCTCCTGCCACCAAAATACGGTGCGTCACTCACAGACCTTCTAGGTGAGACTTCACTGGAGCCGAAAGTTAAGGATAAAGGTATGCCCAGGGCAGGGAGACCCTGTACTTGCATCAAGGAAATCTGAGCAACAGTCACTGTAGTTCTAAAATGAACACAGTGACTGCAGGCGTCATCTCTTCCTCTGCAGCATTCTGCCTGTAAAAAAGTTTCTCTTTCTCTTTCAGGCATCTTCTCAGGCAGAGATGTAATGTGTCGGCTAAAACCTGGCTGGTGGGAAACTTTCAGGAAGCCCTTGTAAGAGCCATTTATAACACTGAAATCAAGGGGGAAACTTAACTCTAATGTACTAACAAGTTTTAAAATGCCTTTCTCTTCCCTGAAGTAAGGGCTCTTGCTTGAGTTACCATCTTTATTTAAAATGAATCCTTCCAAACTAAGGTTTTCCTTTTGGTGCTTCTCTACAAAAGCATGTGGCTTTGCAGGTTTTGATAAAATAATGCTAATAAGGCTTACAGGCCTTTCATCCCCTTCAATCCAGCTAAAAAGAGCAGAGCTCCTAAAATAGTCTACCTGCTATAAAGGTCATTTGAAGAAGGTTTGTATGAGAGAAGGTACCAAATACGTGCTATTCTCAGGCATGCCAGAAGACCCGAGAGACTGAAAAAACTGAATGGCTCGCCAGGAACTTGGGTCTTTTCCTAAACTTAAGCTTAGGTTTATAAATCCCCCTTGAAGATTTTAGAAGAGACTTTAAATCTCCAACAGAAAGTTCTCAAATTATTTTGGGTTGTTAGGACATCTTTTAAGTTCTCTTAGGGGCTTAGTAAGACTCCATCTGCCTGTCTCAGATCTTAAAGGAAAAAATGTGTCAGAGACATAAGGAACTGCCGCTAAACTTTGTGAAACTATGGGCCTGATTATCCACACCTAAAGGGCATCATTAGGAGGACGCATCCATCCATTCCTACTGTCTCGGAAGAGCAGTCCAAGATCAGGGAAGAAAAGGGTATGGATAGGATCACACAGCCTCGTTGACTAACCACAAAAACGATGGGGGGGAGTCTATGGATCAACCATTTAAAGCCTCAGTTATATAGCTTTTTAAGGCAAAATGATCAGCTATTTCTGGTAACCAGAGAGTCTGGTTAAAAAGACCTTTAAAACATCTCTTATGTGCCATGAACATGGAAGCAAGAAACGTAGTAGCATTAATTGGCCTGTAGTATTACGGTGGGCTAGGACTTCTGGAAAGGATTCTTCACACTTAAATGTAGGTGAGGTCAGCACTTAAACATCTTTTTTTCAAACTCCTTCCAGATTCTCATTTGACAAGGGTTCTTTTAAGACATAAAGATCCTATGTTTGTAAAAAATGCACAAATCATTTTAAATCGAAAGGTGACATTACAACAACTATTTTCATGAGCAGACTTCTGATATCCCCTCAGAACAGAACATTTGATAGAAAATTACCTTCTTCAAAAGAAGGTTAGGACTTGAATCTTGGTTCCACAGTGAGATTTAAGAAAATAAAATCCCTCCAGAGCAGATAGTTATATTTCCATAGAAATGGCAGATCTGTCTAATGGCCTTTGTTCTTTTAATTTTTTTGATGTTTATTTTGAGAAAGAGAGACTGAGTGTATGCGCGCAAGCCGGAGAGGTGCAGAGAGAATTCCAAGCAAGCTCCGCACCGTCAGCACAGAGCCCGGCGTGGGCCTTGATCTCATGAACTGAGCCAAACCAGGTGCCCCTAGTGGCCCCTGTTCTTAAATTGATCTATTTCCTCTTCTCTTTGATGTGGCTATAAGTTGGTATGTGCCTTTCTACTGAGTGTTTTGGGATAGCCCTGAGGAGTTAAACCCATTTATTTGCTAATATATGATAGACAGGTTTCTATTAAGTTCACCAAAAAACTGAAGATGACAACCCTACAGCAAAATTGGCCAATGTTACAGCAACTGAGTGCTGAACGTGCCGTTCTATTCCCATCCAGCCTAGTAACTACCCCCTTCAACTGACAGGAATTTTCAGAGTATTTTATTTCAGAATAACCCATTTCCCAGGAAATATTACTTTACTTAGAGATAGGCTCTAAGATATTTTTGTTTATCTCCTTTGAAATAAGGTGTGACTAAAGATACTGTGGACCTAGCTGTGAGTGACACTTAAGAGTATCAACATCGGACTGTAGCAGTGCTTATAGCAGTTTAAGACCCCCTTGCAGACTCCAGTTGAAATTGTTTCATCCCAGGAAGATGCTGCTAGCAAGCAGCATTTCCATGGGCAAACACAGCGGGGTCGGACCCCAAGAGTCCGGCTGGCAGCTGCACTTTAGCCTGAAGGACGGCAGTGGCTTGCACTGACATAGCCATAGTTACCTGTAGTAAAATTGCCTAGTAGTCCCTTTAAATTAGTAGAAGTGAAGTCCACAGGGAAGTAGTACTAAGAGCTGGACTGGCAGTTTCCAGACCTGGGTTCGTGTTGCAGCTCCATGGCTAGGCTCATCTGCAGATAGGAAACAATATCAATACAGGGCTGTTTTGCAGCTTAAGCTGGAACATCAAGTAGGGTTGACATAAAATATGCTGCAATGGCAACATGTACGCTAAAGGAAATTTTAAGTCACAGGTCAAAGAACGGGACATTTCTGCTCAGGCTAGAATGGCTATCACTCTGCAAGGACTTCCCAGAGATTGTGACCAGTCAGGCTTAGGACACTTCCCTTATGTAAGCTAATTCATGGAAGCCACTGACATTAAAATATGACCAGTGGGAATTCCCCTTAGTAAATGAAGAAATTATTAAGGCCCATAGTAGCTTGAAGTGTTTGTACTCTGACATCTTGCTTGACTGCTGTGGGGGAAAGAACACTAGATCTTCAAAACTAAGTAAGAATGTAAATATGTTTACATCTTAAACTCATGGAATGTTTCTTGCTAGCTCACCACTAAGCTGACAGTGGAACAGCTTGCATAAAACCGAAGTGTACAGCATCACACTAGCATTTGTATTATTCTTCTGTTTTAGGAAATAGCTTCTGAATTCTTTCCCCCTTTATACGGATCAGTAAGGCAAAAAAACTTTGGAAACAAAACCAACTTCACCCACATAACTGTTGGTATCTTGAGGGATTTTTCAGTTGCCTTATGTGAGGATGAATAGATCCAACAAGCACATCTATAATACAAAGTAAACTATGATTTTATTGTGAAATTCTCATAGATGGAAAATTAAATTGAATATTTATTCTGTCCATTTCATTTTACAATAATCTTACCACTTATTTTTGTACCATGTATTTCAATTGCCTGTTTAGTGAAAATAAAGAAACCTATCATTTTTGGCTTGTTTTTAGTTTAAATTTTATCATTGGATTAAAGATCCCACCGTAAAATGTGTTGCCAACAGTCACATCCCAAGAGCCTAAGTAAAAGAATGTTTTGGCTGCTATTTCAACCCCAAGTAAACAATCTCTGACTTCTACCACCTCAAAATGCCATCGTTAGCAAAAGATTTTTGTTTCCCCGCAATAAAAACAAACCTTAGGATCTTCAAGGTCCTATTCAACAAAATTTTTCACATGTGCAAAATTCCACGGAAATAAATACATTTTTTTTCATTTATCATTCCCACCTAGCATTGTGTTTTCAGTTAATTTTTAGGGATAGAATTCCTAAAATTAGGGAATCAATAGTAAATTTACTGCTTTCTACTTTAATGCTTTAACTCTCCTCCGACCTAAATTATACAATTGTGGAGGATAAGATCGCTGACATTTGACTCAGCACAGAAGAACCCGTACCAGCACACACATTAGTCTGATCACTTGCCAAGCAGGAAAGGTGCGCTGCTTTTCACCTCTACCACAGAAGAATTAACAAAATGTTGATCGATGAAGCCATTTCAGATGGTTTTAGAGAAGGATAAGAGATAAGAGACTAGATAGCATACATTCTAAACTTATTTTCCATACAATTTAGTCTCCCTGAACCACTAAGCCTGCTTAAATCCCTACACAGCACAGAAGCCTCCCTAGGTCATTGACTGGATATAGTGTCCGGAAAGCATATTGGACGCTGTTCTAAGACAGGTCTACAGTGACCTTGTTGCACACACAAAAGGCTGTTTTGAGTATAATGCGAGGCTCTATTTCCCTTTAACCATAAGAATTAAAACAATACTTATCACCATACAGTTTGATATTACTTCCAATAAGTACAATATTTATTAAACATATCTTCAGTTGTTTTGTTACATAGTGTGCAACAAATTACAATATTCTGCAGCCACAAATTATATGCAGAGTATGAAGAAACTATTAATCAGATAGTGTAATCTTTCCGTTTATAACTCTACAAGGAAAAACTAGCAAATCAGATCTTACATAGAACATCTCACTAAACTTTATGCATGGAAAGTGACAGACACTGGTTGTGCTGTTTGATACAAAATGGCTGAACTTCATCTTCAGAAGACTAAACCTGACATCTAAACATGCCAATATAAACGTCAAAACAAAATATATTCTAACCAACCACGGGAAACAGTCTGGTATCAGGAAAGCAACAAGGATTACACACATTATTTTATAAACCAGCACACAAAGGTTTAAAACAGTTCTGAAAATGAAGTTAGCTGTCTTGAGTCAAGGGAATAAAAAAAAAGTCAGTATTGACCATTTACAATCTCTGACCTTTGTGGAGACGGTAAGAATCTGTTGTAGTGCAGCTACATACAGTACAATTCAGGCAATTTTGTTTTTTCACTTGGGTTCAGATTGCAAATTCATTGCTGTGAGAGAAGGACGGAGGCAAATTTTAGCAGCAACCTCCACCTGACTGCTTGACCGGAGTGCTCTGAATTTTAACATTGGACTTCTCTGCACCACCAGCTGTTGCTCCAGGACCCATTCGCTTTTTAATCTCAGCTGCCATCGTCATGAAAGACTGTTCTACATTCGTTGCGTTCTTAGCACTGGTTTCCAAAAATGGAATTCCAAGGGAATCAGCAAATTCCTAAGAGAACAGTAAGGCTTAATTAACACAGAGTTTCTTCCACTTAGTGCATTTCTGTCCTCTGAAATGGGAAGCCAAGGAAGGACTAAGTTTACTGAATCCAGACAGACACTACACAAATAGCCACTATCAGCATATTCTACTGCACATATTTTAATATTTTTTTTAAGTTTTTTTTTTTTTTTTGAGAGACAAGCATGGGAGGGGCAGGAGAGAAGAGGAGAAAGAGAATCCCGAGCAGGCTCTGCTCTATCAGTGCAGAGCCTGACGCAGGACTCAATTTCACAAAACGTGAGATCATGACCTGAGCAGAAATCAAAAGTCAGGTGCTTAACCGACTGAGCCACCCAGTTGCCTCTCTAGTGCACATATTTTAAAAGCCGTAAGATGGTTGTGGCTGTTGTGTGACTCCATACCCATACATAATTCAAACTGAACACCTTCAGATTCAGTCTGAAAAATCAAACTTGAAACCTACCTTTGCTGTTGTGTAGTCTACTACTTTCTTTGTGGTCAGATCACATTTGTTCCCTACCAACAACTTGTTGACATTTTCACTGGCATAACGGTCTATTTCCTGCAGCCACTGTTTAACATTATTGAAGGACTCCTAAGAAGACAGACATTTTTAAGAATGATCATACAGTCTGGACACAGCTGCTCTAAATATTAGCACATAAAAACAGAAGTGTCTTTCCTGGCCTGAGAAGTTCTAGTGAGACAAGTCTAGCTACAAAACAGTAACTACAGTGCCAGGAAGAAAGTGAAGTGATATATTACAATGACTGTACATACTTACAGGAGTAAGACATTAATATTTGAAAGCTTAAGGGAGGGAAATACAGTTTATCATTAAACTACAGTTCAGTCAAATCTGTTCTGGAATAAGCAACTTAAATGTACCTATAAAAACCTGTTTTTTGAAATCTGATAAAACTTTATGAACAAGAGAGCCTATCTAAAATGTTAGTACTAGAATTGTCAAAATGTATTATTAAATAAGTCCAAAGTAAAGATGCTTGTTTTCCACAGACCTATTTAAAGGAGGGAAATTTTCTTATTTAAGTATTTCATGGTAATGACTTAAGATTTTTTAAATTAGCATTTCTTTTTTTCCTAATGATATCACTTACCTAATATTTCTCATGGCACGGACTCTAAAGTCTATGATTCTAGTTATCTCCTAATTAGCTACGCTTTCATAGTTGAGACTTAACATTTGACACAAGAAAAAAATTCTAATTTTCAGTTTATCTTTCATTCTTTGACAGAAAAAAAAGATCCTGAAATTTTCTTTCTGATCAAAAAGAAAACACTGATGGCCCCTGGACCACATTATTCACACCATCTCTACACCCTCCTCCCTACCTTCTTCTAACAGCTAATTTTTAAATACTCATTGTCCTCTTAAAATCTTCTTCCAGCTCATCCTATTTGTGAACCACATCCTTCATACACAAAGACCACTAATCTCGCCTTTGGCAACTCTGAGAGATCTAATTACCAGCAAACTGCTGCTAATATTTAAAACTAAGAACACCGTATACACCAAATAATCCATAGCTCCCTATGAACTCTTGTTGAAATGATCAGTTATTAGTTGATAATAAATGTAAGCAGAGTCCCTTGCAAGCAAATGTACAACCAATTACTAAATTTTCTATTTACTAAAGGAAAATAATACAAAATTTTGGTTGGTCACTTTATTAGGTATAATGGAGGTGAAAAAAAGAATATACCTGTTTTTATAAAGTAAATTGCCTTAAAATAATTTTTTTTTAGTACTTATTTTATTTTTGAGAGAGGGAAAGAGCTTGAGCAGGGAAGGGGGGGTGGCACAGAAGATCCAAAGCAGGCTCCACACTGGCAGCAGAGAGCCTGACGTGGACCTCTAACTCACGAACTGTGAGATCATGATCTGATGTAAAGTTGGACATATAACCAACCAAGCCACCCAGGCGTCTCTAAAATAAATGCTTTTTATGTGACTCATTTATTTGGGACTGGACAATGTATTTTGCCCTGTAAATAATACTGATGCCAAATACACAAAGTAAAAGAACCTGTTATTTATCCATTAGTAACCTCCTTTCTCATTGCAACATGATTTCCTCCTGGAACTTACCTGATCTGTCACATCATACACGACTATGATGCCATGGGCTCCTCTGTAATAACTGGAGGTGATTGTTCGAAATCTTTCTTGGCCTGCTGTGTCCCACTATTACAAAACAATCAAGAAATCCACACAATTCCATTAAATGAGAGTTGGGGGAAAGGGCAGAAGGAAGGAGAACAGTTTCATTTACATAGCTTCGGAGAGTATCAAGATTTGACATAGGAACATTAACCCTCAATGCTCACACTACTAAATTGCATGGTAATTGCCAAATACCTGAAGGTTCAGGATAAAAAGGTTGTGCCTATACAGCTTGCGGTAACGCTTCCAATGAGCCAGGAACTATGTCATACTCTTGATATTTCTTCCCTATAGCCTTAGCACTGCAACGCATTCAGTATGAAGGCAGAGATGGGTCGACTTGATTAGGACAGCTACTTGCCTAACACCCTTTAACACAGTATACTCTCACAAATAAGACAAAATCACTAGCTAGGACATTTTACCTTTATTGGAAAAGCACTGAAAGGTCCTAAATCAGATAACTACTAGTGAAGATAACATTTTAACCATCTCAGGAAGATACTATCTCACTCTTAGGAAAAACAATGCAAAGATGATTCTAAATACTTTCAGAAAACTCAAGAGCCATTTACCACACTTCAACCATATAGGCTCAGACAATGAAAGCAAATGCTTATGTTGTTACATTAAGATTCTGGGTCTAAAAAACTTAAAAATATCAAGAGGCAAACTCAATTATTAGATTTTTAAAAACTTGGTTTTAAGCAAAGCAATGAGAAGTTGGCTTAAATTGCTCCTAGTCAATGACATCTTCTTAAAATGTGTATTTAGAATAGCTAACTACCCCACTAAAAGAACCTGGTAAAAATTATACCTTGACTGATGGGGAAATAGTAAAATGGGAAGTGTTACCATTAAAAAAACAAAGCCAAACCCAAAAAAGCACTTGATGCCTAAGGCAAATGGAGATTAAGATGCAACAGCCTTTAAAGGGAGAGAACTGTAAAATTCAGGATTATGGCTCCTGAACTTTATGCCCATCCCTACTAATAATGTCTTACATGGCAAAACTAAAGGTTCTGGAGCACTCAGTGAAATTACTTCCTTTGTTAAAGAGCCAGCACAAATAAGGCTGCTGAAAACAAGCTGCAATTTGGGGGAAATTTGAATACAGACTGGGTGTTGAGAGATTATGGCATTAGTGTCAGTTTTGTTAAATGTGAAAATGGTAACATGCATACTTAAGTATTTTTGGAGTAAATATAATGTCTGTAATTTAGCATGCTCCAGTTAAAAAAAAAAAAAAAAAAGGCAAGTAAGATTATATGTTAACTGTTAATCTAAAGCAAACCAAAAAAAGTCACCATAGCTTCATTACTTTTTGTCCAAAGTACGAAGCTTGAGAGTGCAGCAGACTATTTAGATCTGCTGTCTAAGTATAGGGGGCCTCAAAGTCTTTCAGGATATCCATGGAGAAACAAGAGCTTTGGAGTCACACCAACCTGACTTCGAATCTTCAAAATCTAGGTTCCTGGTTATTTAACACTAGGGAGAGTCACCTGACAGTTTCCTCATCTATAGATCCTAGGTGTCACTTTATAGACCTGCTAAAGGGTTTAAATGAATTCATGTTTATAAAATGCCTCACCTGACTATAGAAGCTGCTCAATAAAATATTAGCTCCCTTCTCTACCCAACCCTTTCACTAAGAATAACAAAGTTAGACAAGAAAAGGAAGTCATTGTTTCTGAATAAATGCTAACAAAGAACTGTAGCTGACTAAGCAATGGCATCCAAAGAGTGAAATTTCCTAGGTCTCCTTGCCACTCTGAAAACCCCCAAGTTTTCATTCTGACAGTTAACTACCTTCCTCTCTAATCACTTTTGTATATAATAATCATTACCCCTCCTAAGCACAGGGTAACTGATTTTTCCATGTTTGTCTCTCCCACTGAAGTGGAATCTCCTCCTGTGGAGCTCTATTTCCTGGTCTCTGTAACCTCATATCTATCTTTGAATGGATTAATTAGGAGAAAACGGCAGGAGTCCTGAAGTGCAGGAGAGGGGAAAAAAAATTCAAAGTCCAAGTCGAGAGAAAACTTACCCCATGTAGTCCATACTGGCTGGATTCTATGTCATATTTAATGATTTTAGGAATCCCGTCTTAAAAAAAAGTCACTTCTTTAATGCAAGAGTGACCCAAATTGTGAAAGGTTATGGAAGCATGCTTCCAGAAAAGAATGACTGACTTTGGAGGTAGAAGGTTGTGGGAAGACCAATCTAAAGAGGGCAGGCTTCCAACAGAAAATGAATTAATCCTGTTTAGGTATCTCCAAAAGGCAGAGGAATAAGAGAAATCAAAGGAAGCTGGCTTCAGCTCAACATAAAGAATTAACAATCAGAAGTCATTTATTAACAGAACTAGCTGCTTCCCGGAAGTGTTCAAAAAAAGGGGCACCAGATAGCAAAAGGAAATTCCTACTGAAGATGAAAGAAGACTGAAAAACTTGTAAGATGCCGTCTAGCCAGGAAAGCAGTAATAAATGAATTTTTCATAGACACTCAAAGCTTACTGAGACCAGTAATAGCATATAACATAATCACTTCACATCAGTAATTAGGTTAGAGGCTTGGGCACTTCTCTTTTGAAATATTCTTTGTGGTACCAAGTATAAAGCTGGCACTCATATAATGGGAAGAATCAATACAGAAGGTAATCTGTTCACTGGTTGAAAGTATTTCAAGCTATCTCTGGTGACTTTATCCTTGCAAGTCCTAATTTGTAGTATCAAGTTTGTTCGCTTGTACCAAAACTGACAGTTCTTTTGTAACGTACCTTCCTTTTTCTTATCATAGGCAGATAATAAAAGGGAGCAACTAAAAAAACGAAAAGCGACCAAACATCCATTTATCTGGGTATATCACATCACCAGTAACACTTACATAATGCCCAACAGTTTACAAAGGTCTTTCACACACATTATTGTATCCACATAGTACTAGATCTGGTTCTTACAACTACCTTATGAGTTAGTAAATCAAGTATCATCATGGTCTTAGAAGAGATAGGAAATGGAGTCCCAGGAAAAAGGCTGAAGTGAGTTAAACACATGACTGACTAGTAGATACCTGAAGAAGACAACAAATCAAGTTTCTTTCTGACTCCCAATCTAGAACTCCTTCCAGCAGTCACTGGTTTTCTACACCAACCCCAAAAGATCCCAGAAATTAATGTTTTTAAAGACTGCCGATATGTGCCCACTGGCAGTATCCAGACCCATACAAAGCTGATACAACTGAGCTACTGCAAATGCCTACTTGAAATTTGGGGTTGGGGATGGAAAGATGGATAAGCAGGCTAGGATGCCACAGGGACACAAAATACTGAAAAAAGGGAGCTATGAGTAACTTGGTTCTGTCAGTAACTGTGGGCACATCATTAAATCTCTTGGCATTAATTTTCTGAGCTATAAAACATGTTAGAAAAGCTAAGTTCCTTTGCAATAAAATTGTTTCTATACAGTTGGTACAAACTAATAAATACAAAAGAATTAAATAAAACCCTTCATCTTAGCCACCTATGAAGACCCTTCTCCTAGGTTTCTTTTAATTTTCCACAGTATTCAGCACAGTAGGACATCAGAAAATGCTCAAACTGCCTGCACTATTAGGACAAGGTAAACCTCAACTTAGATCCTCCCCCTACCCCCTGATGAAAGCACAAGGAAAAGAACTAGGACCAAGTTTAACTTCAAACATGTATTTCTCTGCTTTGTGAACAAAAAATTCAATTAGGAAGGTAATCTTAGAGAAAATGTTTTTAATTTAAACAATTCTTATTCTACCACTCTATCATAGGTATAGGAGATTCTGAAGATCATAAGAAGTACATTCTAAATTTACCAAAATAATTTCCAAAGCAAATTCTAGTCTAAAAATGACTTACTATTTGAAGCTTGATTGTTTTCCCATCTAACTCTATAGTTCTTATTTTGAAATCCACACCAATTGTGCTGATGTAGCTTTCTGTATATGTATCATCCTAAAGGGAAAAAAAATAAAATTAATGTTCAATAAAGAAAATATGTCAACTTTTATCTATAAAGTCGATAATGTTTATAAGGCATAATGTGTTGAGAACAGCTACTCCATTCCAATATTCAGTTCATGTTCTGATTACAATGCACTATTTAATAGTAGATTCTTCTTAGGATTTTTTTACTAGCTGTTAATTTTATCAAACATCTGTTTGCAAATTCTTTACATACATCATATAGAAAAAGGTTTTATATTTTCAATGATTACAAATGACTTTTCTGTGAATCAGCAAAACTCTTGTTCCCCTCCCTGACCCTCCATCCAATATATTCACCATAAAGGAATGATGTCATTCTCCTCTTCCATTTTTTTTGGAGGTCAATTTTACACTAGTTATGACTTTTTTTTGCTGTTTGTTTTATTATTGAGAAACAGAGATACAGAGTGTGAGCATAGGAGGGAGACACAGAATCCAAAGCAGGCTCCAGGCTCCAAGCTGTCAGCACAGAGCCCGAAACAGGGCTTGAATCCACGAGCGGTGAGATCATGACCTAAGCCAAAGTCGGATGCTCAACCGACTGAGCCACCCAGGTGCACCCCGCCCCCCACCCCAGTTATGACTTTTAAAAGCTTGTGCAACCATCACCATTATTTAACTGCAGAACATTTTTATCTCCCCAGAAAGAAACGCTGTCCCAGTAGCAGTCACTCTTCATTTCCTCCTCTCCCCACAGACTCCAGAAACCACACGAATCCACTTTACGTCCCTATGGCTTTGTGTATTCTGAACACTCATGTGAATGGAATCACGTATATGGCTTTTTTATGTCTGGCTTCCTTCGCTCAGTATAGCTTTCAAGGTTTGTTCATGCTACAGCTCATACAGTACTTTGTATGGATACAACACATTTTGTCCTCCATCAATCAGTTGATGGACATTTGGGTTGTTTCCACTTTTTGGCTACTATGAATAATGTTGCTTTATGAACATCTGTGCACAAGTTTTTGCGTGAACAATGTTTAACTCAAACTTTTAAAATTACACCTATTTTTCTCAAGTATCTGCCATGACATTTTATTTAGAACGGAAAAAAAACTTTTTCTTTCAGTGAAAATGTTCGTGAAAAGATATGTGAAAGGAGAGATCAGGCTATCACCACCTAAACCCACTGAATAATCTTAGCAAGCACAAGGCAACTCCTATGAAGTATTCTGCCAACAAAGATGGGCCTAAATCTATTAAGAGGATCCCTGTCAAACAAAACTTTCTGTGATGATGGAAAGGTTCTATAAACTAGTCAATACAGTTACCACTAAGCTAATGGGAAACAAGGAAGTGAATTTTAGATTTTATTCAAATTTAATTAATTTAAATTCAAGTAGCCACATGGGGCTAGTAGCTACCATAAAAACAGCACAGTTCTGGGGCTTCCAGTTACTATAACAAGAGAGATAAAGGAACAAGTTTAAAGACACCATAAAGAAGCAAAGTGACAAATCTAAAATGTTGGAAAATCTATATGACAACTACCTAGGTTCTGCAAAAAGTAAAAGACATAAATGAAAAAGGAGATTGGAAAAACTTAGATTAAGCAGCAAACAACCAAATGGAATGTATAGACCATGTCTGTATCCTGATTCAAACCAACTGTGATATCACATTTCTGAGAATCCGAGATATGTATTTTGTAAGCTGACAAGGGCACTGTTATTTTATAAAATGTCCAGTTTTTCTTCTTTAAGATTTTACTTTTAAGTAATTTCCACACCCAACGTGGGGCTCCAACTCACAACCCCGAGATCGAGTTGCATGGTCCACCAACTGAGTCAGCCAGGCGCCCCCAGAATGTCCAGTTTTTAGAAATGCACGGTTTGTGAGATCGAGCCCCACGTCGGGCTCACGCTGACCACACGGAGTCTCCTTGGGATTCTTTCTCCCCCTCTCTCTGCCCCTCCACAGCTCGTGCACACTCTTTCAAAATAAACATTTTAAAAACTTACTTATTTACTGTTTTTAATTGAGTGTCTAATAAATATCAGATACTACAGAAAATAGAGAACAAAATGAGTACAACAAACATTCACTTCACACTCCTACAAGATAGGTGCTTTTTTGGAAATACTTAATGAATGCTTTGTTAGAATTCTTATAAATCCCTACATGTGCCTTATTCGTATGCCTCTGAGCCACTGCACATGTTCTTCTTTCTGTCCAAGTTCTCAACATCTCTTTCTGCATACTTCCTAACCCCCAGCCCCTGGGTCACAATTTTTATTTATTCTTCAATTTTGAGCTCAGGCAATACTGACTGTCCAAACATTCTTTAACTTCCTTGGCCAATTCTCAGAGTTTCTTACCTCTGTGGTCCTACAGCTTATTACACATTTCTTTCTTTCTTTCTTTTTTATTTTTTAGTTTATTTGGAGAGAGCAAGTGTGCAAGAGCAGGGGAGGGACAAAGAAGAATCCCAAGCAGGCTCCACATTGTCAGTGCAGAGTCCAGTGCAGAGCTCAAACTCACAAACTGCAGAGACCATGACCTGAGCCGAAATCAAGAATCCGATGCTTAACTGACTGAACCACCCCTGTGTCTGTACATTTATTATACATTTTGCAGCTCATCTCTATTCTAGGGGCCCAGGAGTCTTTTAAATGCTTCAATTCTAATGTGTAGGTAGGCAGTACTGAAACCTGTGGCTTAGATCAACAGGCATCCAGAGAGGATTTTCCTTGAAACACAAACACCTCAGGCTATAACCATTCTCAAGAGATGTCAGATACCCAAGATTGCTGATTTACTATTACAGATGATTCCTGATTTTAATATTTGCCAATTTAATAAAAATTAAGTACTACCTAATTTTAAAGTCCTTTAACTACAAATAAGATCGAACTTTTCATACTTATTGTCAATCTGTATTTCTTCTTTTGTGAACTGCTCACTCATGTATGTGCCCATATTTCCATCATGACAAATATACTTTTCATATTAATATGTAAGTGTGCTTTATATATTGAGAATATCATCTCTTCCTGTTATTTTTTTGCTAGTATCACTGGTTTCCTAACACTTTTATGTGTGTAACATTAATTTTAATGCAAATTAACAATCTTTTCTTTCCCGATTTGTTTCCGTATTAGGAAATATTTTCACATAAGATAAAGAATTTTACCCTAGTAGTTCCTTGGTTTCATTAACTTTTATATATACACACACACAATGTAAAATTATATACATTTTAAATGATAATACTGTCAATCAGAAAAGTCATATTAAGAATGACATGCTGTCAAGTTCACAGTGAATTTTAAGTTTTCTAAACTTCTAATTTTCCCCTAAGAGCTTGAATTTTATTACATGTACCAAATGCTATCAGTTATTTTCCTTGAAATGACAGTCTCAGTTCACTGGAGAAAATCTGCCCAATACCACCAAATTCCACATCACTACAGTTTGTCAGCTGTTCTTTCAAGTAAAACAAAAAGAAAAAAAAGAGAAAAAAGGAGCTAGTTCAGCTCACAACTCAAACAACTATCCAAGTGTTTTTATTTTCCTCAAGACAACCAACATACTCCATTCAGTATGCAGTAACAAGTGCTTTACATGTTTTTCACACAAAATACTTAAAGAACACTCAAGGATCAAGATTTTTAAAAATTATTCATTTTTACTGTTTTCATCAAAGACACTCTTAAGTGACAATCCCCCCCCTTCCCCTCACCAATACAGGTAAATACTAGGACTCTGAGTACAGTTTGGCACTTAGCACTGCCTTGATGGGGCGCTAAGGCACCAGCCGTTTTACCCACCACTGCATGTGCACCATCAGAGCAAATGTCAACACACTGAAAAAGGCAAATGTCTTTTGCGTTAATACTAAGTAAGTACTTACTTAGTAAAATACTAATGGCTTAGTATTATTAGGATAAAAGCTTTAACCTCATGGACCCTTGGAGAAAGTCTTGATGATCCCCAGAGGTCTTTAGACCATACTCTGAGAACCAATGACCTAGACATGAGAAGGAAAACATGTTCAACTTGAAGGCCATTGATAAAGACTATGGAGACTGTGGATTCTATTCAGTGGGTTCAAAGTTACATATCTGTAAGGTGCAGCATACAGAACACTATGCCAATGTCAAAAAAAAGTCTGTACCAGGCTCCACTTTCTCTTTTATTCTACTAAAATTTTACTTAAAGATTCATTTTTCATCAAGTCACTTAAACACAAGCCAACTCTTTGAACTCTACCAAGAGTGTTAGACATTCTAACTTTATAATCACACTTTGCTGAATTTCTTAAACTCGATAGCATTTCTTCTACTTAAGTCAACATATCACTGGGAAGGTACACTTGGAGACTTTTAAATATATAAATTCTGGAAGAACTATTTTTTTCTGAATGAAATTGTTTAATCCTTTGACTATCTAGAAAACACACACAGCACAAATTTCTTTAAAGGCATTTCAATTTCAACTTACTGCAAACCTAAGAAGGAGGCAAGACTTTCCAACCCCAGAGTCGCCAATCAGAAGTAACTTGAATAAATAATCACTGCAAAAAGAAAAAGAAAAATCACATTAAAAAATGCATACCACACTGTAAGTTCTACAACAAAAATATAAGCCAAGAATAACAGCTCACTTGAGGACTCCTGAAAAGGCCATGAATGGCTTCAGAAGCCATTTAACTCCTGAGGCCTGTATTAAAATTATTTTAGAATAGGGACGCCTGAGTGGCTCAATTGGTTAAGCGTCTGAGTCTTGGTTTTGGCTCAGGTCATGATCTCATGATGTGAGTTCGCGCCTCGCATCAGGCTCTGCTCTATCAGCTGTCTCCTTCTTCGTCTCTGTCCCTCCCCTGGTCTCTCTCTCAAAATAAATAAGCTTTAAGAAAAATAAAAAATATTTTAGACTAGAGATGTGATAAAATCATATGCTGCTTATGTCAACACACAACTTTAACAACATTCTAAGCTTGCTATTAAAGTGTTTCCTTCAGAAAACACTGAAAGTTAGGCACTATTTCTGTACATTAAACTACCAGGACTAACTAAAAAACCAGTCCCAGGGATTCCTTTATGGAGCAAGATCCTTTCCTGGACCAGAAGAAAATATACTACTGCCCATGGCCTCTATACTGCCGAGTCCCTCATAGATCTTTTCCACCTGAGACTAGTTCTGTGTTTTTTTAAGTAATTTCAAAAAAAATCCAGAATTTATCCATTTTTTTAAATGTTTCTTTATTTTTGAGAGACAGAGACAGAGCGGTAGAGAAAGAGAGGGAGACACAGAATCTGAAGCAGGCTCCAGGCTCTGAGCTGTCAGCACAGAGCCTGATGCGGGGCTTGAACCCTTGAAATGTGAGATCATGACCTGAGAAGTTGGGCACTGAGCCAACTAAGCCACCGAGATGCCCCCAGAATTTATACATTTTTTAAAGGATATGTATTCATGATTTTCAGTTTTTTCCTTTGTGATTTAAAAAAATGATACTTAAGATGAAACCCAAAAATCACAATTTAAATTTAGATTATAATCATTATTTAAATGTAAGCAATATGTAAAACTTTCAGAAATGATTATCTCTGTGAATATTCATCAACTGCTACCTAGGTTTACACAGTGATCATGTATTAAAATTTTCTTCTAGTTTTACCAAGTCATCATAGTACACTTATCGTCCTTAATTATATTTGGAAAAAAATTAAAAAAATCCAAAGTGCCCTAGTCAGCAAAATAAAAATTAGAGAAGGAAACAAGAAGCTCTTAAAGAAGTCATAAAGGGGATTTAGGCAAAGGATGAACTAATAATTAACTAACATCCTTTCCAGTTTGAGATCCTAAAGAAAAAAGGAGGGGAAGGGAATAATAACTAAAATTTACCCATAATAAATAATACTGAACACCAAATAACTTTTATTGGCCTGTACAGTTACTGACTGACGTTAGTACTACTGACATCCTGCTTAGACCTAATAACAATTTTTTAAAGTTTACTCATTTTGAGAGAGGGAGAGCACAAGCAGGGGGAGGGAGAGTATCACCAGCAGGTTCTGCACAGTCAACACAGAGCCCAAAGCAGGGCTCAAACCCACGAACCACAAGATCATATCCTGAGTTGAAATCAAGAGTTGGACACTTAACTGACTGAGCTACCCACTAAATTCTTAAGAATGATGGGGCGCCTGGGTGGCTTAGTCGGTTGAGCGTCCGACTTTCGCTTAGGTCATGGTCTCAAGGTTCGTGGGTTTGAGCCCCGCGTCGGGCTCTGTGCTGACTGCCAGCTCGGAGCCTGGAGCCTGTTTCGGAGTCTGTGTCTCCCTATCTCTCTGACCCTCCCCTGCTCACTCTGTCTCTCTCTCTCTTTCCTAGAAATAAATAAAAATTTAAAAAAAAAAAAAAAAAAGAATGATGGACATTAGCAATGAGTACATGTTAACAATTTACATTACCATTGATACTACTTTAGTTACTTTTAACAGAAATTTAGACACAACAAATGCCCTGAAATCACCAATCTCCCAGAGCACAGTGCCAGGCATCCAGTGAACACTCAATTAACACCCTCTGAATCAGCTGTACGGGACCCTGTTACAATAAAAGACAGGACTGGACCACAATGTTGCTGAATGTTGTTCGTTATCTTAAAGATCAACTTTCTCATTTCAGGGTAAACATAAGGCTGGAAAAAAACAAGAATACTTTCTAAGTGTATTACAAATTACATGCTGGTTAAAAGAAATTAATAATTATCTAAAAATCAACTTTTTCAATTATCACATTTTTTCACTTTTAAAGTGTTATTTTAAAACAGTTAATTTATGAGTTTCTGATAAAGCTCACAAGTATTATAAATAATTATGAACAGTTGGGCACTCTTCTCTGCAACCAACTAATCATTTCTAAAGACTACTCTTTTCAGTTTTACTAACATGAGACCTGGAGGAGAATGGCAAACAAAAACTCAAACTTCTTCCTCTTACTGAATACACACACCTGGAGAGTGCGAGCAACAGGATGTTATTTGCACTGGGGCATTTAAAATTACCTACTACTGTAGTAGCTTCTTTCTAAATTATTAATATCCAAATGTTCAAGAGAACTCAGAGATTTGAGAGTGCTTAAAGATATTTCTCTAACTATAATTTACAAAACAGAACACAATAAAAATGTTGACAAAAATATGCAAATCTAAAATTAGAAAGCACAAGGTGAGAATTCTGGTAGAGTCAAGAACAATTTAGGAAATGGTGAGACTTTAAATGTATTTATCCTTTATTCCTCAAGAATTTGGATTTTCAATCTACAATATTGACTAGAGTGAAAAAAATGGATTATTCTAGTTCAGAAATCTATAGCGTTAACAAGTGTAATCACTACACTCTTCTAAATTAGATCTTCTAGGGGCAGCTACGTGGCTCAATCCATTAAGCATCAGATTCTTGATTTTGGCTCAGGTCATGATCTCAGGGTCCTGAGATCAAGTCCCTGGTTCCTGGTTGGCTCTGCACTGGGCGTGGACCCTGATTAAAATTCTCTCTCTCCCTTTGCCCCTCCCCTGCTCAGACACTCTCTCTCAAAAAAAAAAAAAAAAAAAAGAAAGAAAATCCATTTCCTTAATTTCCCTACTCTTATGTCACACATACCTGTCAGTGTGTAGATAAACTTATTTGTGTATCCAAAATCTAGTATTGTACCTTTTACAAGGCATGTGCTAAGAGATCAGAGAACATTTTAATTTTGCATTTTTAAAGAGATCTCTTTCATTATGAGACACAACTAAAGAAGATCTATGGCCATCCTTGATTAACATTTTAAGTAAATTTACCTAGGGGTAAAAAAATGGATGGAGATATAGCATGTTAAAAGGACACAGGAACCAGCCTGAAAGTTCTCTCACTGGCCAAGGCAGAATAACTTAAGCCACAAAATAAACCATGTATTGGGTTATAAGCCAACGAACAAAATAAACCACAAGTTCATGCTGGTATCAATTATTAAATAAACTGGGAGAAGAGACCAATCTTCCTTACAGGAGTCCAAATAATACATGTAGAAGGAATAAGAGAAATAGAAGATCATCAGTAGATCACCACAGTAGTAACTGCTGCAGGCAACAATGAATTCCAAAATTTGTGGGTAAACTTTAAGGAGAAACAGGATATTTATATGGCGTCAAAGTATGTCCCCTCAAATTCTTATTACTGTGGTGGCTTAGCTTTAGTCCACAAATTCTTTGACTACTACTCCTTCTAGGAGATGGACTTAATTCCCTTCTGTTGAGTGTGGGCTCTTAATGACTGCTTTCTAAGGGTATGGAAAGGGAAATATAATAACTTTACAATGGAGGAACCAGACAGATACCATCTTAACTGATTACACTATCATCCGTAATAAGTCACACTGATTTCATGTACCCTCTGATACGATGTGATGAGTAGAGTGCTTCACCTCTACGGTATCTTCCCCACAGTCCATAGCCCCAGTTGAATCATGAGAAAACATCAGACAAATACAGACTGAAGGACATTCTACAAAGTACCTAATAGCGCTCTTCAAATGTGTCAAGATCATGAAAAACAGGAGACTGAGAAACTCACAGACTGAAGGAGGCTAACATGTAACAAGTAAATACAACATGGTATCCTGGACTGGATTCTACAATACAAAACTGACATTAACAGAAAAACTGGAGAAACTGTAATAAAAGTTAGTTTAGTTAATAATGTGCCAATGTAAATTTCTTAATTTTGGTAAATGTACTTTGGTATATAAGATCTTAATAATAGGAGAATTTAAGTGAAGGGTATACAGGAATTCTCTGCACTATTCTTACAACTCTATAAATCTATATTTATTTAAAATTTTTAATGTTTATTTTCGAGAGAGAGAGAGAAAACGAGTGAGCAGGGGAGGGGCAGAGAGAGAGGGAGAGAGGGAGAGAGGGAGAGAGGGAGAGAGGGAGAGACAGACAGACTAACTCTGAAGCAGGCTCCAGGCTCTGAGCTGTCAACACAGATCCTGATGCGGGGCTCGAACTCACGGATGTGAGATCATAACCTGAGCCTAATTCATACGCTTAACTGATTGAGCCACCCAGGCACCCCTAAAAATCTAAATTTAAACCCATGAAGTAGGAGTGCTTAGATGGCTCAGTTGGATAGCGCTGGGTTTCAGCTCAGATTATGATCTCAGTTTGTGACTTTGAGCCCCACACTGGGCTCTCTGTTGTCAGCACAGAGCCCACTTTAAATCCTCTGTACCCTTACCCCCACCCCCACCCCTCCCCTGTGTAAGTGTGCTCTCTCTCTCAAAAATAAACATTAAAAATTAACATAATACAAAAAAAAAAGGATAAATATAAAGATGGAAGGAGTAAAAAAAAAAAAAAAAAACCCAACAACCATTAAGTATGAGGACATTCAGCTATCTCCTGGGGCGCCTGTGTGGCTCAGTCACTCATGTGTCCAACTTCAGCTGAGGTCAGACGATCTCCCAGCTTGTGGGTTTGAGCTCTGCGCCAGGCTTTCTGCTGACAGCTTAGAGCCTCCT